CTTAAAGGCAGGTGTGTTGAGGCAAGTTGGAGCTAAACTCTGCAGGACACCGGCCCTCCAGGACCGAGTTTGCTCACCCCTGTGCTAGAGAAATGAACATTCAATTCACGGGCAACAGCTCTGGTGGACATTCCTGCAGTCAGCATGCCAATTGCACGCTCACTCAAAACTTGCGACATCTGTGGCATTGTGCTGTGTGATAAAACTGCACATTTTAGAGTGGCCTTTTATTGTGGCCAGCCTAAGGCACACCTGTGCAATAATCATGCTGTCTAATCAGCATCTTGATATGCCACACCTGTGAGGTGGATGGATTATCTCGGCAAAGGAGAAGTGCTCACTAACACAGATTTAGACAGATTTGTGAACAATATTTGAGAGAAATAGGCCTTTTGTGTACATAGAAAAAGTCTTAGATCTTTAAGTTTAGCTCATGAAAAATGGGGGTAAAAACAAAAGTGATGCATTTATAATTTTGTTCAGTGTAATATGCATGCACAATAAACTATAGTAAAATGTATTTACATCACTCGACAGAAAGGTTTTTGCAGGTTTTAATTAAATGTAAATTAATAACTGTCATAATAAGCATATTTCCAGTACGTGCCTCAGGCTTGCACAGCCTTGTTCGCGATGGCGCCGACGCTGATGGCTGCCTCCGTGGCGTGGTCCGCAGTTGTTTTTATGTTTTTGCTAGTTTGTCCTGTCTTTAGTTATATCCCTGGTTGAACCGGCTCAATCGGTTCTTTTAGAGTTGGACGTGCTACTTCGGCTGTGTGTCCTGCATCATCAACCCGGAACTTAAGTTCGATTCCGTTCGATTTGTGAACCGACTCGACCGGTTACTTCCTGAGAACTGGCTCAAAAGAACTATTCGTTCAAGAACCGAACATCACTACTGTGATGTAGTCTCTGTTCATGCTCTACAAACTCTTCCTCAGCTCCTGCTCATGAGAAAGAAGAAGAAGAAGAAAAACTTTCTCTCTTTCCACCTCAGCCCCACAAAATACTGGACTAGTCTTTTCTTTCATGATTTTATGCAGGTCTCCATTACAATGTTCCATTCTGCTTCTGCATTGCCTTTGACATGACACATCAAATGTGTTTTTGACCTCATAGCTTGACTCCATGCTGCTGCACAGGCATCATATACAGTTTGTTTTGATTCTTTGTATTTTAATTTTTAAATATAACAAATGTTAATTAAGTTTTTGACTGCAACTCTATGACATTTTGTGATGTTGAACATCAAGCCTTTCTTCTGTTCAGCCTCTATAGTTGTTAAACTAACCGTAACACAGGTCAAAGACCACTTTGTATTACAGTCACTAATATGAAATAAATAGCATAGATTAGACTTTAGATGAGATCAGTTAGTCAAATCACTACATGATGATAATATCTTCAACATCAGCAAGTAACCAGCATCATCTGATCGCATTTTCTCTCACTGTTTTTGCCATAACAAACATAGTTACAACCAAATAAAAACTAACATTGAAACGTTTAAGTCAAACTGCCCAACTACTGATCACAACAATGGTGACTTCAAACCAAACTATTATTTTCAATAAACCATCAACATCTAAACATCTGTTAATCTCAATAAGAACTTTTGTAAATGTATGACAGAAATAAAGTTAATCTTGTTTATAATAAGTGAAGCTGGTAATGCTGTTTTTTGGAGTTATTTAAAGGGGTCATATGATGCTTTTTTAAAGATCATTATTTTGTGTATTTGGTGTAACAGAATACTAGAGCTTGATATCAAGCAAAGGGTGGGTTTTCACTTTCAACCAAAATTTGACGTCTGAACAAAGTAAGTCCACATCTAGTGTGATGGGAAGCTTTATTAGAACATTAGATGATAATGTTTTAACAATGTTATCAATAAACATTTTTACAATGTTTTTAGAGAATGTTATCCTACCTTTTAGCAGAACATTCTGGGAACTAAAATAAAACTTGCCACTGAAAATATTCCCAGAACATGAACATTTCTGGATGGCAGCTGTTGTGGTGGAGCAGGACCTGCAAGACATGGTGATGGCAGCATTTGTGAAAAAAAAAAGGAAAGCCTGAAATAAAATTCTAAAGTAAGATCATTTTGTTACTTCTAATACAGAAATCAAATGGCATTGTGTTGTTAAAATGACTGCTGTTGCATTATGTTTGTGCATTTTTGTATGATCTGAAATGGTGTGAGCAGTGAGGATGGAGAGTCCACAGCAGCATCCTAGAAATGGTCTACAGCCATGAATGAGATGCTCCATCACTCCACCTGTTACTGCCTCATCAGGGCCAGATGTTGCTGTGGCCTCTTCATCCTCAGTGAGCCCAGAGCCAGTGAGAGCATCTAGAGAAAGACACTGAGGATGTGATTTTGGTCAAGTTTGTCCTGCTTGTTTCTGTTCATACAATACCAGTAAATGGAGCCCGAGTTTCAGAAACTTCAAAAGCATCATCAAATAATGTCATGAAGCTTCCTAATGTCAGGCCCCATTGACTGATATTGTATGAACAGAAACCAGCAACCAGCAGGACAAACTTGACCAAAAAAATAAATAAATTACTGGTCAGCATTTATCATTATTATTGTGTGTAAGTGTTGGGGTGAGCTAGCAATGCAATTCATTCTGGGGTAATCTTAATTTTTAAGTAGTAATAAGTAGTAATGAGTCTTAAGTCTTCTCCAGAGGCAAGATCTTCGAGCAGTTGCTTGACATCTCCTTTGTGCGATCATTGCAAACATTACAAACACTGAGGAAAACCATACTAAATAGGATTGTTGAGTTAGATCGGGGAAAGATGGTCTTATCTTTGACAATGAACAATCAGACAAAAAACAGAAAACATGGATATCATGGATCATGGTATGAGATTATATACACAGATGACAAGGTTAAATATCTTTAATTCATAATGATACATTAAAATAAAACAAAGCAAAAAAATATATGTATGTATTTTATTTATTTGTTTGTTTGTTTGCCTGAGTCATGAAACAACACAGTTAAATTTAACAAGAAAAAAAAAAAGGAAAGCATAAAGGAGATTTAAGCCACTTTTGCCTGTGGATGAAAAATGTTGCACATAAAATAAAGAAATAAACAACATATTCAATAAATAATGATTTTGGGTTTTTGTAATAAACAAAATATTTTTAAGGATTAAACTGTGGGTCATATTAGTAGGGTTAAAAATATAAAAACTTAAATCAACCCAAAATGTATTGCTTATACTACAATCACAAAATAATTGGGAAGCTGTTTCTTCAACAAGACCACAAAATGAGCAAGTTTAATCAATATCAAGGTATTTACAGATAGATGAATTACACCTGTCATTCATATCTTTTAAGTTGTTGTGCTTGTTATTACATTGTAGGTCACATGATAATATCAACATTGTGGATGATATCTGGATTGCATTCATACTTAATGCGTTCAAGCTATAAGAGTACATAGTTTTTTAGCGCTCGTTAAGTGGGTACTTATTGAAATTAAGTAGCTACTCAGTGAGTATGTGATTTCAGATGCAGACATATTTTCTCCAGACAATCTCAAATCTAGTAAGTGACATTATATTATATTATGATTGTATTTCCTTAGTACATCATATAAATAAATAGTCTGTGAAATGTTTGAAACACTGTGTAATTGTGTTGTTTGTGATCCTCTCGTCAGCAGCTGCAGTGTCTCTCAGCTGTATCAGTGAAGTCACAGTGACTCTGACTGACGGAGGTTTTTGTATGACTCTTTATCACTGTCTGAACACATATTTACTGTTGATCACATGGAAACTCTGACAGTAATAGTCTCCTGTATCTTCAGTCTGGACTCCACTGATGGTCAGAGTGAAATCAGTGTCAGATCCACTGCCACTGAATCTAGATGGAGTTCCAGTGTAACGGTTTGATGTCTCATATATGAGGAGTTTAGGAGCTTCTCCAGGTTTCTGCAAGTACCATTGTATCTCATCACCATCATACACTCTGCTGCTGGTTTTACAGTTTATTCTGACTTCTTGTCCTGTTTGAGCTGCTGTTATTGATGGACTCTGAGTTACAGTGATCTGTCCTCTACACTCTGAAAGAAAGAAAGAACAAGAATAAAATGAAGAAACAACTGTAAATGATTAATATTTTACACTTCAAAGAATAAACAATTGTCTCAGTTTTATCACACAAACCTTGAGCAAACAGTGTGAGAGTCCAGATGAGAATGATGATGTTGTTCATTGTTGTTGTTGTGTCTTGTGTGATGATGAAGATTGTGTTGTGTTCTGCTCTCAGTCATGAAGTGTTAAACTCACAGCACTATAAACACTCTCAGAGCACTGAAGCATGTGCTGACAATGCAAAGTGGGCAGGATTTGTGCCACTAACAAACTAACCCTTGTGAGAAAGAATTGTACTTAACTGTACTGAATGTGCACAATTAGTATACTTCAAATCCTGAAAGTACAAAAAAAAACAACTATATTTTCTGCAAGTAAATTTTTTAAAAAGTGTACTTGCAGACAAAATATTACTCAAATTAAAGACCACTTAAGTGTACACAAAGAGAGTGAACTTTCATAATGTGTGCACATTTTAAAAGATGCGCTTTGTAATAATGTGTAATTAAGTTTTGCTTAAACGTACATTTTAAATAATTGTTTTAGTCATGCTTTAAAGTATACTTATGTTTATGTATTGACTAATATACTAAAGCACTTATAAAATAATTGATTTTAATTTCAACTTAAGTGTGTTGTCCAAAAGCACATTTGTTAATTTATTTTAAACGTGTTTATAATATATACTGTGTATACTTTTATACTTTTATATACTATGTGCATTAATGCACTTAACATGAAAAAAAAAAAAAAAACCTTTATAGTGTTGTGAAGTACACTGGTAATTTAAATTTAAGGTTTTAAAATTCATTCTAAATTAATGCCATTTAACATAATTAAAACAAAATTAAGTTAATTTAAATTCAATTTAATTTTAACCAGACTACTTATTATGACAATAATACAAAATATCTCAGTGAGTAGCACTATTTCCCTACAGCATGAAAGTCCCTGGTTTGAGTCACTGACCAGTAATAATTAATTGATCAATCTACCTATCTATCTATCTGAAACTTTACTTTTGAAACCTCTGGCCCTGGATTCAACAATAGTTAGTAAAAATAATGGTCACACTTTCTTTTAAGGTCCAATTATCGATATTAACAAACCATTAACTACGACTTTTGTCTCAACAAACTCCTAATTTGCGGTGTATTAATAGTTATTAAGGTAGTTGTTAAGTTTAGATATTGGATAGGATTAAGGATGTAGAATATGGTCATGCAGAATATGTGTGTCACAGTGCGGTAAGAGAGCACCGTAGAAAAACAGGGTCTGGGTCCAAATGCAGGTGAAATGAGATTTGAGGGAGAAACGCAGGGCCCGGACTCATGACAATGTGCTTTATAAGTACTAATAAACAGGCAATATGTTAATAATGGGCATTATAATAAGCAACTACTTAATAGTGAGAATTGGTCCCTATACTAAGGTGTTACCAAAATAACATTAGTCAGAATATAAAATCAAATATATTATAATATGGGTTTGTTAACAGCATAAACTGTTGTAAATCCTGCCCACTTCTTTGCATTGTCAGCACATGCTTCAGTGCTCTGAGAGTGTTTATAGTGCTGTGAGTTTAA